TAACCTTTAAGACAATATAGTCCGATAAAGAGTACATTTTTATACATGTTTAAGCCAGAATGATTGGATATTAAAATATGATTTCCCTACGACTTTAGGAACTGTTGATTTGGTCTGTTGGACGTTTCCATGTTATGAATTATCCGGCTCCAATAAAGCTGATTGAAATGTTCCCAGTGAAACGAGCCTCTTTGCTCTCAGAAATATGTTTATTTCTGTGGATTCTCAGACGTCATCTCCAAAAATGGAAGTTCACACTTTAACACGAGATGGATAAAAAGAGCAAGGGAGGTGTGCAGAGAGAAGAGAGAGAAATAAATCCCTGAAAGGAGGTTCTGCTCCAACCAAACACCATCTGCTGGTGGAGCTGCAGCAGCTCCATCCAGCCTGATTCATGCTCTCTTGTTTGTTTTAGTTTTGCTCTGCTCGTTCTTCAGCGGCCCATCCTATACCGCGTCTGCCAAACGACAGCCAAATAGGGAGAGCTGCTGTATGCCTTGGCTTTAACTCTGCTTTATCTGAGGATTTTTATGTTTTCCAGTTCGTGACCGGGTCAGAACGAAGATGGAGAGGGACATCCTGGTGGAGGTCAACCACCCCTTCATCGTCAAGCTGCATTATGGTGAGTCAGCCAGTAGGAGAGCTCTGTCATTGGTCTATCAGCCAATCAGGGAAGCCTTTACATCTCTGAAGTTTGTCCTCTGCAGCGTTTCAGACAGAAGGGAAGCTGTACCTCATCCTGGATTTCCTCAGAGGAGGAGACCTCTTCACTCGCCTCTCCAAGGAGGTAAACGTTCAGTGTGGAGTCAGGTCACAGAAGCATCTCTCCAGAGGGAGGAAATCTTCCGGTTCATTGATAAAAATTCATTTATTTATTTAATGATAGCTATTAAAAGCTGTTTGTGAAAACTAAGCACACCCCAGCTGCTTTTAGTTCCTCCAATAATGTTAGTTTTCTGTCTGACTTTATTTCTCGCCCGCTCTCCATCTTTTTTTCTGCTCCCTCCTTTTGGCACAGCTTGAGGCTTCGTCCCCAGAGGTCTGGACTTTGACTAGACCACTTCAGGACCTTCATTCTTTTAGATTAGCGGCTGTGTTTGGGATCATAGTTCTGCTGGTGACCCAGTTTGGTTTAAATTAACATTTGACTCCAAATTACACCGGTTTCCAGAGGAGATCATGCTCCACCCAGTAAATGCAAAGCATCACTCATCCATCTCAGTGTGAGGTGTTTGCTCTGATGTTCTGTGTTTGGTTTCCTTCAGACATGCTGCTGTAAATTATCTTCGTTTCCACCTTCAGCTCCTCCAATCCTCGATACATCTTCAGTCTTCCCCTAATACTGCCATAGTGACCTTTAACCTTGAGCCTGCTAACTGAGCCCTGCAGAGTCACAGATGGAGCTCTTGGGTTTTCTATACTTTCTCAGAGCTTCATGCTCTGACCTTTAGCAAAATCATCATGGACTTTCCTTCCTGAGAAGATGGACTTTACTGACAGGCAGCATCAGTTGCTTCTCCCAGCTGTTGCCTCTCCATTCTGGCAGAGTGCTATCTCACCTAGCAGCCATTTTTTCCTCGAAAGTCTTATTTTTAGCATGTGGAGAAGTGCCTTCACATTTTTGTTATCGTTGAATTTAAATCAATTCAACTGATCCAAAGGTAAATTAATGGAGAAATTCTTTAAAGAAGAATATCAGAATGAAGCTAGCTGGGCAGCTCCAACCTGCAGCCACTTTAACAGTACCATTCTAGGATATGTGTAAAATAATGTTATAAACGGACGCCATGCAATTTTTAAACATGGTTTTTTATTTATTTTTTGGAGAAAAGTGTTTCTCTTCCGTCCCTTTTTGGACAGAGAAGCATCAGATTGATGGATTTACCTTATTTGCCTTATTGTTTGAAGTTTAAATTACATTTATCGTCCTCAGAAAGCTCTGGAAACAGTTTACAGGATCTGATGTCTAACCTGGTTTGTCCTGCAGGTGATGTTCACAGAGGAAGATGTGAAGTTCTACCTAGCAGAGCTCGCTCTGGCCCTGGATCACCTTCACGGCCTCGGCATTATTTACAGAGACCTGAAGCCTGAGAAGTATGTGAACTCACACATTCATCTTTACATTGACTTCCATTCATTTTCCATGGTTTTCTATGGATCAGCCCTGAACCCGACCATTAGCACTACCTAAACCAAATTATCACACCACAACCCAAAAAAATTTAACCTTTTGCTCTTATTTGGTTTGTATGTTAGAAAAGTAGTCTAACATACAAACACTTTAGTTTCTCTCAGAGGCTTCTTTTATCTTTCATATGCACTGCAATAATTTGAAGAAACAAAAACTGCACTGAATGACCTTAAATGAACCTTTAGAGCTCTCTCATTGGTCTGCCTTTATCTGCGTTTTTCAATTGTCGTAAATAATCAATCTGAATTTCTGTGGTCTGATAGAAACTGTGTTAGCTCACAAGTTCAGATGACTGGGTTTGATGGGTGATGTTAGGAGGTAGCAGGAAATGCATTAATGTATTGGAGCTTTGTTAGCTGTTATGGTGGAGGAGGAGCTGAGTTGGTTCATCTGTGATCAAACCATCGGATCATGAGCAAAAGAATGAGATCATGGTGACAAGCCGTTAAAAATAAAAAGGTTTCCTGTGAGGTTGGAGGGATGAGTAATCGGCTAGTCAGTCGAGGAGGTCTTCCCTCCTATTAACCCTTACTGCCCCTGAAACACCTCTACATCCTGATGGTGTCTGTGGGAGAGGGGGGGGACACGCTTCTGGATAGAGATCCATCAGCATCCATCTCCAGATGGACACAACATCAGAGCCGCTGCAGCTGGAGATGAACAGAGGTCCTCATTGCTGTATTTAGCAGCAGATTCCTGTTTGAGATGATTCACATCTTTAAGCACCAGGGATTTGCTGGTTAAATAAAAATCCTTATTACCTTAAATATTTATGATTAGCAAAGAAACGGGTTGGGTTAATCTTTATAATCCAGCTGAGGAAGCATCCAGATCAGCCCTGATGTTTTCATATTGATCTGTTCTCAGAAGGAATTTTAAAGTTTTTCTGAGCTGAGCTGTCGGAGAGGAGGAGCCAGAGCTGATCTTTTCATTTAGCTACAGATGAAAGCATCTCAAACTGTCTGTGTTGTTTTCAGCATCCTGCTGGATGAAGCCGGACACATCAAGCTGACAGGTCTGTAAAGTTTCACTCCTTCCTCTGTGTTTGACTCCATGTTTGTTGTCCTGCTGCTCATTCCAGCTCCTGCTTACATGTTTATCATCATCAGGCTTCCCGCTCTCCAGTCGGTTCTCTCCCAAAGTTGTTAGTTGATTTTTATTTATTTTTTCCTCTGCTTGTTTAGACTTCGGCCTCAGCAAAGAGTCGATAGACCACGAGAACAAAGCCTACTCCTTCTGTGGGACGGTGGAGTACATGGCCCCTGAGGTGGTGAACCGGCGGGGACACACGCACAGCGCCGACTGGTGGTCGTACGGCGTTCTCATGGTGAGAGCACTATGAAGCACAGTGAGCTGAACTTAGAATTAGATCTGAATCTGCTTTCCTTTTGTTAAACAGAAAAATAAACAATGAGTTTAGAGAATGATTCTTTTCAACCTTGTAAAGTTTTTTTATAGTTGACCTTTTTGACTACTTTTAAAAAAATATTATATGTTCTCCTTAATTTTTAAGCATAAAAAGTAAACCCTCTTTCCTTTTGTGGGGCTTATGTTTAAGAGCAAAAAGGTTTTGATAAAACCCAAATTAACATAAAAATAATAAGAAAACACTAATGATTCTAAATTATTGTTGTTTGTCTTATAAAGATGAACCCTATAGCAACGTATTAACTGCTTGCTGCTTTCATGGTATTTAAGAGGGAAAAAATGCAGCTAATTAGGAAATGTCTGGATTAGAGAGCAGGTGTTTGTGTTAACATAGAGCTGAGATAGATAGACCACCATCAACATTAGAGAAACTGTTCTCCTTCCCCAGCAGCATGTGAGGGGATGACATTAGGAAGCAACCCGTAGTCTGTCATTCAGCAGATAGAAATATTTAATTTAAATTAAAAAAACCCTTCTGGGAAATATACCAGGACGTCCATAAAAATGTATCCTAAGGTCAACCATGAAGAAATGATGGGGGTCCAAAGCAGGGGTTCTGCAGGCCTCAGAGGTTAAAGGTCATGGCAGGAAAAACACAGGTTTTGGTTTCTTTGGTTAATTTAAAAAAGAAACCCACAAGAACACAACCAGAGTTTTCAAAGGTGCGTCTAAAGCAGAGGTCACGGATTAGCGGACCGCGGTCTGGATCCGGAACCACCTGCTGGCTAATCTGGACCCATAAAAAACATGAATAATTTACCACATGTTGTCTGCGACAGTGTCTAATTCCACTTGCGACATTTCTCGTGTTAATATGGTAAAGCCCTCCAGAGCGTCCGGCACCAGGCTGCACATTATAGGAATGATCCAATGAGCTGCTGTCAGTCTGGGTTGCTGCTGCTGCTACTTTTAGACACAGCAGGTAAACCTGTGGCAAGCCGGGCGATGGCAAAGAAGGAGAAGATGATGAGAAAAAGAGAGCAGAGAAAGTGTGGACTGCTGGAAGAACTGTGGTGAACTGGTGAAAGAAAAGTGAAATGGTGCTCAAAGATGACCTTGAACATTTAGAGGATGATTGGCTCAACCTGCTGCTGTGAAGCAGGATTCTCCACCATGAACAGAATCAAAAATAAACATGGATCCAGGCTCATAATGAGCTCCTTGATATGTGCTTTAGAATGGCTTAGTCTCCATTCAAACCAGGTTTAAAGCCTTGCATGGCAGCATAAAGCCCACTGCCAACATTAAGACAGAAAAAAGAAAGAAAGAAAATACACAGTCTGTTCAGGTGTTATATGAAATATATGAATCAGGAAATTGTCTATATACCAAACTGAACGATTGTTGTTCTCTACTTAAAAAACACATTAGATTTTAAAATGAAAAAAAAAAGTTTTTTTTATATATCTATATTTATTTTTATTTTTTTTCTAAGTCAATGTATAACATGGATGCATAAAACACTTTATTTCAGTATTAAATTCTGTTTATTATTAAAAATGTCTCTTGACCTTTACTGGTTGTTGATTTCTTTATTCGGATCCCACTGATTTTTTTACCCCTGGTCTAAATGAATCATAGTCTCCTCTTAATAGATGAGACCAAACTTAGACATGATACTGAAACACAGCAGTGGAGGTATAATCCTCTGGGCCTGATTAGACCATCCAGCCAGCAGGTCAACCATGATCTCTTCTGTATATCCATGCCGAGCTGAGATCAGCTCAGTAGCCTGATCAAAGTCCTCTTCATGTCATGATAGAACTGAAAGAGGGAGAACTTTCTTTTCCTCATAGAACCAAACCTAACCAAAAGTTTGTTCTCTACAACTTTTTGTCTGTTAAAACTTCTTAGAAATCCAAATAAACAATGTTTGGATGATAAAGTTTTAAGCCTGTGTTTACTTTCCATAATGATATAATATATATGATAATGTTTGATTTTTTTCTTCTCTGGACTTCTTCACCAAATTTAGAGATTAGGGTGAGTTAAAAATAGATTTAATGACAGTGAAACACCCGATAACTCTGACGGGAATGCTGTTTCTGTTCTTTTTCTCAGTTTGAGATGCTGACGGGAACGCTGCCTTTCCAAGGCAAAGACCGGAAGGAGACGATGACGATGATCCTCAAGTAAGTCACTTTGCTATCTATCTACTTTGCTATCTAACGGCTTTTATTACAGCTCAGGGTGCATCAGAGATGGAGATGGGGGTATTTATCAGTGGACAGACTGAAGAGTGAAGCAGTAGAAGTTGAAGTGAAAGAGCGAACGTGTTCATGTTTGAGTCTGTGAACAAAAACCCTTTGAAAGGAAACATTAACCTCCGCTGCTTCCTCCGACTCTCTTTCAGTCTCTGTGCAGGAAAACGCTGAGCAGACTCTGCAGAGTGCTGACGCTGCTTCCTGTGCAACAGCCCCAGATTATAGTCTAGGCTTTCTCATGCTTCACTGTGGACATTCAATACGTTTCCCTCTTTGATCCTGTTTCCCTTTGCAGAGCTAAGCTGGGAATGCCACAGTTCCTCAGCTCGGAAGCTCAGAGTCTCCTCAGGAACCTGTTCAAACGCAACCCTGCGAACAGACTGGGTAAGACATTTCTGCATGAAGCATGCTGAGGGGAGCGGGACGGGCTGGGAACAAAACGGCCAAACACGCTATCATGAAACTGCTACCAGAGCATAGAGGATGAAAAACATCCTCACTTCAAAGCCTTCCAGATGTTAAGATCTTATTAAACACACCTGAAGCTGAGCTGGAAAATATGTGTGGGAAAACTATGTACTGCAAAAACCTAGGAAAAGGTCAAATGTCTTAAATTTAGTGAATTTAACCTTAATTTTAGGAGGTAAATAAGATGATGTGCCAATGAAATAAGTATTTTTACTCCTAAAATAAGATAATTAGATAATATGCACTTGATATGAAACAATACAATTATTTTTTCTTATTTTAAATGTAAATTATCTTCTTCCATTGACAAAGTGTCTCACTTACATTCTCAATTCAAGAAAAAATGCACTTATTTTAAGAAAAAATGACTTATTTAGATTTCAATGTTTTGCATTGTGGTCAGCTTTACTGCTTTTGTTTAGGAGAAAAAATAGAAGCCAGTTAATAATCACTTTTCTAAATAGCTGATTAGTTGGAGCCCGTTTTATAGGAGCTGGAGTTTGTTGGCCTGCAGCACGCAGGTGTTTAAAAAAACAACAACTCTCGCTCATCAATATGTAAAAAGTTATAAGGCCACATCCAAACTATCTGAAGACCATTATCCTACTGGGACACCGTATGTAGGATTAGAAACACACTTCTCCTTCTCTCTCTATGAATTATGGCTTATACTCGCTAACATTATAAAGTGTAATTAACCACTACAACCTCTGGTCTGTGGTCCGCCCTAGCTTGCTTACTCTACTTCCTGTTTATCACAGCCAAGCGTATGATCGATGATGACATTATGCTTTGCATCGCCTCATTAATTCGCTCCAATGGAAACACGTCTAATTTGCATTTTCTTTTTTCCGACATTTTAAAATTCACATCACATTTAAAAGGAAGAACGGCCAGTGGAAAACCCAGCAGATCCAAAGAGATGGACAAAACCAAGCTCTAGAAGGTTAAAGGTCATGGCAGAAGACCTAGCAAGAAATTGAACTAGCCTGATGTGGAAGGAAAAAGCTCACCATCTCCATAAATATGATGATATCATTACAATTCTGCTGAAATAAGCATAGGACTTTAGAACTGTTAAAATGTCTGGCTGTACAAATAGGTGAGCACGGGGGTGGAGGTTTTATGGTATGGGCTAGTTATACCCCCAAAAGAGCCTGGTCACCTTCCAGTACTGCCTTTAAAGTATTGCTTTGATAAACTGAGATCTACAGGTGTTGTTGGCCTAGTTGAACTCCACCAATCTGATCCAAATATTGTGGTGGAAACCAAAGTCTGCAGAACTAAGTAACCTGCAGTAGGATGCAAGATAAAACTAATTAGTTATTGCTGCTGAAGGAGTCCCTCAGGGTTTGATGGACTTTCATTGTTCCACTGTTTTGGCTTAATCTCCGGTTAATTAAATTTTTTGTGTGTCTGTTTCCAGGTTAGATTAAAATCATTTTATAATCTGCAAAGAATGCGATCAGTTTGATTATGACCTAAACATAAAACCTTGGAACTCTTTTTTTGCAGGCGCAGGACCAGACGGTGTGGAGGAGATCAAGAGGCATTCGTTCTTCGCCAGAATCGACTGGAATGTGAGTTTCTGTAGAAACCAGCACCGACAGCAAATATCTCTAAGGTCTTTTTGTGGTTCTGGCTGAAGTTTCCCAATGTCTCTCCTCCCTGAAGAAACTGTTCCGAAGAGAGATAGCACCTCCTTTCAAACCAGCTGCAGGACGACCTGACGACACTTTCTATTTTGATCCCGAGTTCACAGCTAAAACACCCCGAGGTACGCGCTTTCCCTCCTCTGATGAGAGCTGAGCTACATTCTCTGTGAAACCTTTTTCCACCGAGTGCTGACTTTTCCTATGTCTGCCTCAGACTCGCCAGGCGTCCCTCCCAGCGCCAACGCCCATCAGCTCTTCAGAGGGTTCAGCTTTGTGGCCATAACAGAGGAAGAGACGCAGCCGCTGCCTAATACTATGGTTCAGGTGTGTACACACGCTCTGCCGCTCGGTTCAGAGGCAGAAATAATCAGATCATCTGAGTCAAACCTCAGCAGGCAGATGCTGACATTACACCAGAGGGAGGCTGAGCTATGTTAGAAACTTTACCAGCTTTGGTAGATGAAAGCAGCAGAGGGAGAGGGCAGATTTTTACCCAGAAATCATTCATCTTGTAGGGTTAAACACTAAAAGGCAAAGAGCAGTGGCGGCTGGTGGAGTTTTCTCCAGGGGGGGCTATAAATTCTAAATAGACGTTTACCGAAAACCAATCAAACGTATACTAATAATACTATTAATTCCAGGAGCCCCGAAGCCATTCATTTTGGCAATGCTGATGGGCCAAATATTTATTAATTTTCCCTAGCAACACTATACGATTGGTTATTACGCTACAATTCAGCAGGGCTTTGAATGAGCACCCAAGAAGCGAACTAAAACGTTCTGTTGGTGGAAATGCACTGTTGAATGACAGTCAATTGGTAGAAGTGTTGTTTTAATAATTCATATTACATGTAGCCACATTCTATTAGGTAAAAATAAGATTTTTTAAAATCTGTGTATATTATGACTTTTCCTCTTCACGTCTAGTGAAGGCAGTGCCCGAGCGCCCCCTATGGGCAAGCCGCCACTGGCAAAGAGATTTGTTTTCTGTAGCATCCGTCCTACATTAGGCGGTCCATAGTGCTGTACAGGACATCAAAGGGAGGATGGAAAGAAAGGAACAAAGCATAAAAGGAAAAGATGTTTAATCACGGATAATGGAGGTATGATAAATATTTCAAACAGCTCTGAAGTTCAGTTCTTTGATCAAAGGATCCTGGAAACAGACTGTCTGGGGTTTTAGAAACTAGATCCTATCTCTGCTTGTTTAGTTCTGGTTCTGGAAACACTGGGTTAGCAGGACTCTGAAAGCCTGATGGGTCTGATTGGTTCAGACTTAGAAAAGTATTCTGGCCTAAGTCCCGTTTAGTGCTTTAAAGGGATACACGGCTAGTTAAAACAGGTTGTAATTTTCCTATTAAGTTAAAAATAGCAGTTATTGAGATAATAAGAAATAATATTTTCTTTGTTATATTTTTTACTCATAAAAGTCGCCATTTGTTCACCTACAACAAACTGATGTAGGTGAAACACAGGAACGCTAACATTAGCAGAGCTGTTTTTATCGTATTGTTTTGTGCAAATGTAAACAATACGGAACTGCATCGCTGCGTCAAAGTTTTTATGAGAAATTATACATGAGATATTTGCAGAAACAAACAAATGTCATCGGCTTGCAACCTGACATTTACTATATTAGCTAGCGCTTACGCACTAGCAGAAGCTAATGGGAAATCAAAATCAAATTGGAAGATAATGGACGACTCTTTAAAGTGACAGTGAAGCATATTTCAGTTGTTGTTACTCATCCTTTTAATATTTCTAAGAAAATGTTTTTATCCTGATGCTAACTGTAAACGACCTCAGTTAGTAACCGTAGAGCCACTTTCTCACTCAAAGTAGCGCATTACCTGTGTTTTTCAATCAATGATCGACCTGCTAACAATCGCCATTTGGCTCCCTTCCCAATGGCAGAGAAAGCTGAGTCTAACCTCTCCCTGACAAACTGCATGGCCTCTGTATCCCCACAGCTCTGTGTCTGGTGACAGGAAAATAAACATTTTACTACGGTAATAAATTCTGTTGCTACAACTTATCATGGATCCCTTGAAAGAGCTGTGGGAGAACTTTAACATCTACTCTGGTTCAGATGTGATTCAGTCTATGGTATTTTCCTGCTTCGGTTGACAGATGGACAGAAACCCTATTTGGAATTTAACTGAAATCTGCAGCATAAAGATGAGGCGCTCGCCTCTCTGTAGGGAATAATAACCTTTTTAAGTTGGTGCAAACATTCCTAAAACTTTTCACATATTACATTTTCCTTCCCACTATCGGCAGATGTATAAAGTGATGTATTCCTTATCTTTTTGTAATTTGCATGTTTGGTTGTTTTTTCGTAGCAGCTTCACAGAAGTACATCCCAGTACTCGGACACCTACGACATTAAAGAGGACATTGGCGTGGGCTCCTACTCCATCTGCAAGCGCTGCATCAACAAAGTGACGGGCATGGAGTACGCTGTGAAGGTAACTCCACCACCAATCACCAACACCAAACACAAACACCTGCTTTTCAACACTAGGTGTCCAACATGTGCTCCAAGCAAACGAGTTTGGGTCCAGAATCTGGATGAAAGTCTTGCCCTGTGGTGGTCCGTCCAGTAATGCACAAGGACAAAGGCATATAAAAAAGCATTTTCTATTTATTTCCAAAAAATTCTTCACAAAAGGACTTACATCAAATCTAAAAAAAATATACCAAAATGTGTGCAAAAGAAAATCAACTAAGGCATACCTAACTCAGGATAACAAACCAAAAAAACTGAACTCACACAATGACCACACAGGTGAATTTATACACAAAGGCTAGCCTACCCAAACGAGGAGGGGGTGGGAGATGAGACAAAGACAAACAATGCATAAACATAAATAACTAATTCAAACCAACACCTTTTGACTACAACACAACTATCAAAAGAAAACAATGTAACACCAAAAATGTTTTAACAGTTATGCCATAAGTGGAGAGAGAGAAGCATACTCTAAAACCAGTCCCCTGCTTCCAGCAGCCTGATGGTACGTCCCACTTCCTGGTTTGCCTTTCAACCAGTCCTCTCCACTCAGTCAGTCCTTCAAACTCGGCAAAGAAAAGTAGTTAATTCAAATAAACAAAAGGTGTTTACTAAATGTGTGCACCCATAATAGTAAGCAACCTAATGCCAAAAAAACACCACAAAAGTGAAATTATAAATGTATTGTGTGAAGACCTTTAAATAAATAAATAAATACTAACACTGAGGAAAAGATGGAGGAACCTCCACATGCCCCAATATTCTCTCAAGACCCCAAGGTCTCCAGATCCATTAAAGGGGTGTGGACCGGACAGAGAGACAGGGTTCACCCTGGACAGGTCTGCCATCCGAAACCTGAGGGAAATGTAAACAGATCAATCCAACTAACAGGTTTCTGGAATGATGGATGAAGTAGGAATACCCAGAAAGAACCCATGCATGTATAGAGAGAACCTATAAACAATATACAGAAAGATCTCTGCCTTGGATTTGAACCGACATCAAGGCAGCTGTGCAGTTTGTTTTATAGCAATTCTTCTTTGTTCCAGTTTTATTGTAGAAATATTAAGTTAAACTGAGAAAGGATTTTGTTACAGATCATCAACAAGGCCAAGAGAGACCCTACAGAGGAGGTGGAGATCCTACTGAGATATGGTCAGCATCCTAACATCATCACCCTGAAGGACGTGAGTCACTTTAATCCATCGTTTTTATTCACATTTAAAAAGGAACCAAACGCTGAGTTTTTACTGGTCCGATAGGATGTATGGCTGTGAATGGGTATAAAAGGTTCTGGTTCTTCTCTAATTGGACCGATCTGGGACGTCTTATGTTGATATGGAGATAAAGGCTCAGAGTGATAAACTGTGGAGCAAGAAAAAATTAGTGTAAAATAATGAGTGGTAAAAAAGTACGGATGGATAACTCTTTATACATATACATTATTTTTCCTTTTAAAGTATAAAAACCTTAATTGATCTTAGTGTAAATCCCCCTGAGTGTTAAACGTTTCATCCTGAGTTTGGTTTTAATTCAGTCTTCCCTTATCCTCCAGGTAAAAATCCTTAAAGCCTGAACAGCAGATTTCCAGGATCAAACTTGCCTTGGGAATTAATCTAATCGGTTAAAACAGTTTGGGATTCCTAGTTAGCCTCCTAATGCTAAAGTTGAGTCTAATTTTCCAGAATGTCTGCAGGGTTTATCAGAGTGAGTCATGAAGGGTCACCTTCCCACCACAGGGTCATGCTGCATATGAAGCAAGCGTGTGCGTCTTAGAAAAACAAAAAACTTCCTGCTCCGATTTAGTTTTTTTACTGCCTTAGATGTGACTCATTGCTGATTAGAGGTAAAAATACCGCCTGCTGCCCACTCTTCCTTCTCTTCCGCTGATAACAGTTTAATTTCCTTTTAGGTTTTAGATCGGTTTCTCCTCTTACCTTGATGACTAAAGTTGTTTTTTTTTTTTTATTCAAAACATCTGGTGTTTTCAGGGAAACCGTTTTTTGAGCAAATTACAAACCTTGCTGTATGAATGAGTAAATGATTTCAGAGAAATGATTCATCGGTTGAAGACCTTCTGATGAGCGCGTGGGTTGTCTGATTCCTGTAGGTGTATGACGACGGCCGCTCGGTGTTCCTGGTGACGGAGCTGATGAAAGGAGGCGAGCTTCTGGACAAGATCCTCCGGCAGAAGTTTTTCTCCGAGCGAGAGGCCAGCGCCGTGCTCTACACCATCACCAAGACCGTGGAGTATCTGCATGTGAACGGGGTAAACTTCCCTCATACTGGTGCAGATAACAGCAATAACAACAACATAACCCAGGAAGTTATTAATCTCTTCATGTTATTAATGACCTGAAAACTACACCAAACAAAAACATCAAAGAAACATAAAAGATAAAACCAGCTTTTTATTTTAGGGATGAAACATTTAATCGTGATCAATTGATTATTAATATAATTGTCATCTAATTTTGAAAATCAAATTATTACTTACAGTATTGCTACACAGATTATATAACCTTTTATTTTCTTAAAGATTCAACAACTTACAGCACTAGTTAAGACAAAGCTACAAATATGAACTATAAAGAATGTATTCTTTAAAAAAAAAGAATACATGCCATTTTCAATCAAGCAATCAATCAATTAACTTTATTGTCAACTTCAATTTACAACTGAGTTTCAGTAAAAACTGTTCATCACTATACGTCACATACATTGGGGTGGGGGGGCTGAGAGGGGGAACGGATTTACTGAGACCATGCGTGCCACAGAATGCTGCCTTTGGCGCATTCTTATGGCGTTCTCATGGCTTCCCCAGGCGGTTACCTATGGTGCTGCCTTTATCTCTGTGGAAAGATTGGAGCCACATTGGGGAAGATAAGGGGGGAAAAAAAGCATATTTTACACTTATCCTTGACAGGATACAGTTTGAGATATCAAAATTTATCCATGAATAATTAAAATGTGTTATTTTTATAATACATTTAATATAATAAAAAATTATTACAGTGATATATTCATGTATTTTATATATTTCAAATTTTAACTTACTAAAAGTTTATTTTTGATTAATCTTTTAATTTCAAATGTCTTTTTAGAAATCCAAATGTCACCATAAAGTACAGCACATAGGTTATTACGGTATTTTTCAGACTTTAGAGTGCACCTAAAAACAGAAACCTGCCTATATAAGCTGCACCGGGCTATAAGCCGCTGATATTCCAACCAAGCCTGTAGGGGGAGCTCTATCCCCTGGGGTAGGGAAGAATGCTAGCTCCCGTTAGCTTGTTAGTAAGTAACCAAAACTTATTTGTATAGCACTTTTCACTGATGAAAATCAGTGTTTCACAGAAAAAATTTAAAACAATAAAACAGTGTAGAACACAATGTCAACATTTAAAAAAAAATGGAAACATTCCAGCAAAGCCATAAGTAACCACACGTCTAATCAAAAGCCTGCTTGAATAGCAGCGTCTTCAGTTGCTATTTAAAAGAATCAACAGAATTCATACGGCGAGAAAAATAGGCAAAGCCTTCCACAGCCACAGCTGCCTGGAATGAACGATCCACTCTGGCTTTAAAACGAGTGTTTGGAACTGCTAACAATGTTTGGCCCTTTGACCTCAGACTACGGGACGGAGTGTGGAGCTCTATCAGCCCAGAGATGTAGGGAGGAATTGACAGTGCAGGGCTCTAAAGTAAGAAGAAGGATTTTAAATTGGATTCTATACTAGACTGTAGCTCTCACTGGTCCCTGCAGTAAGAGCTTCTACTGAAAGATGCTCTTTATTTCAGCTCTGCAGGAGTTTAGCCCAGTCTCCTCATTGGTTCAGCAGCTTTAATGAGGCAAATAATTATCAAAATATGTGAATTTGAGACCATTTGTTTGCCGTCGTGCCTGCTGCTATCAAGTTCTTGTGCTAAATAAAAATTAAGACCTTATTCTTTCATTCCCAACTTTGACTTCCCCCTCTGGCGGTTAGGAAAAATTCACAGAAACGTTGCACCTTCTCATAAACCGCATGGTTCAAAGCGAAAAAGTAGCGGCTTGTAGTCCAGAAAATATGGTATTATTAATATTATTATACTTTTTTTGAATTTTCCTTTGAATAAGAAACAAATAGGCTGCTGCCAAACAACACAAACCAGAGAAATAAATTCCTGATGTATGAAAGTTAAACATAAAAAAACAAAAAAGCAAAAACGATAAAACAACAAAGAGAACCCCCACCCCTGTCATTTAGTTTTATATTGTTAATATGTTTTCTTTGATTTGTTAATAAAGGTTTATTATTGTTTAAATTGAGACTCGTGTAACATTTATTATCTCAGTGTCATTTTTGTTAATTAAATGGAGGAAGACAAAGAAATATCTGCTTAACAAATGGCAGCATATTAAGAATTGGTTACCGGATGTAATAATTGGTATTGGTCTTAAAACTCCCATCGCTTAATTCATTGGCTGTTGAATATTAATATAAAACTACTATCAATATGTTGCATTACTACACTGTAATTTAGGTAAAATATGTTTTTCAATCCAGCAATACAATTATAGATTGGAACAGATCAAATAAAATCGGTTCTAAATGTTTAGAATCTGAATTAAATCAGTTCCTGTTGTTTGAGTTGTAGTTTTAACGGGACAAAGTCATACAAAGTTGAAGAGGTGGCAGTACTCTTTAAAAATTCTGTGCATATTTATTGGTTCGACAAACAAAAGACGTTAAATTCAATGTAAATATGTTGTAAAAATGTTTATAGCTATATTATCTGTTGTCTTTAATGAACGATCATAGCGTTTGATGATCATAAAGGCGCGCTGAGATTGTCACGTTGCAGAGCCTTTATCAGCAGACAAACTGGCTTTAAGTGGAGTTTCCTGTTTGTGCTGTTATGTTTTCTCACAGTGCTGATGCATCTACAGAACGAAGAGTGCAGAAGCTCTGTGATCCAGTGTCCGAGGAGACCAACCCCATTTTTCTTCTTCTGCTCTGTCTGCAGGTGGTGCACAGGGACTTGAAGCCCAGCAACATCCTGTACGTCGACGAGAGCGGGAACGCCGAGTCCATCCGGATCTGCGACTTTGGTTTTGCCAAACAGCTGAGAGCAGAAAACGGCCTCCTCATGACGCCGTGTTATACCGCCAACTTCGTTGCTCCAGAGGTTTTTTTCCCTTACTTTGTTTATTCTTTATTTATTATTTTATTAGCAGGAAATAAAGCCATTTAGAAACAGCTGCTTTGCTGTTGAGTGAGAACAACTGGCGATGAAATACAACTTTTTAAAAACATCTGAAAGGATAGTTTTGTTTTCTTGTGGCAGGTTCTGAAGAAGCAGGGTTATGATGCAGCCTGTGACATCTGGAGTCTGGGAGTCTTACTCTACACAATGCTAACAGGGTAGGTTTAACACATCAGAACATGTGTTTGTCTTCTAACATAAAAGCAACCCTGTTATGTCAATGCATGGGTTTTCTGTACAGTTTCTGGGAATGATTTAACTTCATGTTTTAATATCTAAAACATAAAGTGGAGTAAAACATCTTTTTTTTTATTAAGACAAACGAGCGAAGGAAAAACATTCAATTCAATTCACTTTATTTATATAGCACCAATTCACAAAAGATTTCATCTCAAGGCACTTTATAGAGACAATTCAACCAGGTCATACAGTCAAATTTTTAAGTTTTCTATCTGAGGAAAACCAGCCAATTGCATCGACTTATTGACTCGAAGACAATCCCTCACTCCAAGCATGCACACGGTTACAGTTGAAAGGAAAAACTCCCTTGTAGCAGAAAGAAACCTGGTTCCAGGAGAGCCAGGCTGGGTGTGAGCAGCTATCTGCAGAGGCAGACTGGGGTTCAGGGAGACAGAAGCAGACAAAAACAAATGTGGAACAATCTTACAAAAACCTTCTAAGATCTTGTTTACGGTCCTTTTTATTAACTTGTTTCAACATAAAAACCCACCTTTTTACCTTGTATGCAGGATCATTTCTCAAGCAGGACTGAAAAAAAAACACATCTTTGGAAAAGATGACAAGCAGCATACAGTATCTTAGCTACTTTTCCCCAAAGTTTAACATTAGACTTATTTCATCAAACCACTCAAACAGCAGTTCTGTTATTTATTTCCTCAAATATGTGTCTTTTGTTTGTTCATATTTTTATAAAGCGTTCCTGATCATTGGTGTTTAGTTATAAAAATTCTTTCAGGTTGTTTTTTTCTTTGGCTCAGTTTTTACCAACTTTCAGTCTCATACTTGAACATTTTTAAAGATTTTTTTTTCTTTTGGTTATGTTAAACCAGATTCCGTTATCCTGTAAATCTTTTTGAAAAATGTATGAGCTTCTAAACTCAATGGATGAACCATTTTTTTTGGACACACAACAGAAACATAACTATCAAATGCGATCCTTAACAATATATTTTCAAACCGTCCCTTGTACCTTTCCAAAGATTACACAGTGGGACATAAAAACAAAAATTAAGATTTTTTTACTTAAAAATCCGATTTCCCTGCAAACATTTGGCTAAAAACTGTCTTAATAAGCAGCTGAAGGAGGAAATGATCATGATCAATTTTTAAGCCTCAACAGTTAGCTTGGATTAGGCTTGTTTTCAACATATAAATTACCCTAATCTATATTTATTAAACTTCACATTGATGTAATCTTATTAAGAAAAACTAATTTTGACTGTTGATGAAAGTCAAACTTTATTTATAAAGCATTGGTATGTTTTTACAGCCTATAGAGTTAGCTCCTTTCTTGGGTCCTAAGCTAATGCTAATCATGACTACACTGTGGTTGTTGGCTGCTCAAAAAACTTCTTTTGATAGTAACCTTTAAAGAGAGTTAGAAAATGGCTTTGCTTAAGTTCATGTTAAATGTTTTTTTATTTATTAAATTTTTGTGAATTTTTTATTCATTTGAAATTACAGACCCGCCTGTGTCGAAGGTTAGCTACATGAGCTAGCGGCTACATGCCACCAACTTAGCTGCTTTGTATTGTTGACAGCTTTACTAAACAATAAACCTAAATGAGCTTTGCTCGCTACTTTCTGTGTATATTTGATGAACATTGACATTTACCAGACTTTGATGCACGAGGCTGTTAATTAACTGTAATTGTTAGCAGCGTTTATCAAAGCTAATAATTAAACTCTATAAATATATAGAAAATATATATAGACAAATGTATATTTAGCCTCTTGACTATTCAAGATGTTTGATCTGGATATAATTATATTTTTTTCTTTTGTGCTTGCACAGTTTTACTCCTTTTGCTAATGGTCCGGAGGACACACCAGAGGAGATCCTTGCTCGTATCGGCAGTGGGAAGTTCTCGCTCACTGGAGGATACTGGAACTCTGTTTCTGCTGAAGCAAAGGTCTGAACTCTAAGGAATAATGCATGATTAAAGTAATCAATAAAAAGCTGTGTTTAGTAAAAGGTGCTTTGTTTTGTCTGTTAGGATCTTGTGTCTAAGATGCTGCATGTAGATCCCCATCAGAGACTGACTGCAGCTCAGGTCCTCAGACATCCCTGGGTGATGCACAGAGACCAGCTACCTAAATACACCCTGAACAGACAGGACGCGCCGCACCTCGTCAAGGTAACGGCCATCCGTCTATCTGTCAGCCGAACCACAGATCCATCCATTTCCCTGTGTCTGTCTGCCAGTTGACCTCCATTTTTCCATCTGTTCATCTTGTGACTCATCCGTCCATCGACCCATAGATCAATACTTCCCTCCATCAGAACAGATGGAGCTTGTTGTCAGATTCAGGATTATTTCTGCATGAACATGATGAACCTTTTCCTTTAAGCCGACAGAAAACTGGTTTATAGGAAGCAACTGTAGCAGACTGAGAAAATCAATGTGTTGAATAAAGTCTCCCCTCCCCCATGCAGGGTGCGATGGCAGCCACCTACTCAGCCCTGAACAGGAACGTCCCGCCGGTTCTGGAGCCGGTGGGCTGCTCCACTCTGGCCCAGCGGAGGGGGATGAAGAAGATCGCCTCCACTGCTCTTTGACTTTCTCCTCTTCCACCTCCTTCCAACTCTGACCTCGATCTGATCGTCACCGGACCTCCCCCCGCCTCTCCAGTCCACTCCGGTCCGGTTCGGTTGGACAGACTACTGATAGACCTGAGAGCCGCTAACGCCAAATAGAAGCACACCCCCCTCACCGCCCTGCCCCACACCTTAACGGGGTTTCCTCATCAGCTCCCTCCTGCTGTCTTCCCGTCTAGTCTCAGCTTTAACGTCACCAAGCGACAGCCGGGCCGAGCTGCAGCTGAAACCCGCCCACCCAGTTCCTGCTGCGAAGTTCTCCTGCAGCATTTCTGCTTAGGACAATCAGCGCTTCCTCGCCACACAGAGGCCGTGTCAGGAAAATGAAAGTATTTATTATCCTCAGATGGGGAAATCATAGGAACAAAGTAATGTAAGGTATGCATTTAAAGAGCTAGGATCATTGTTATCTGTGTAGTTGTAGAATCTGCATTTAAACCTCAAGTAGCCTCTGAGACGACGAGACGGACACGGTTCCGGATCCAGCTCAGGACGCGGCTGCTTGTACTTAAAAGGGAAAGAAAAAAAAGCTCATTAGAGCCAGAACGTTTAATGAGGAAAACACTTTTTTTTTCACCACTTTTTCATCATTTAGCAGAAACGGAGCAAAGAGTTTCATTCACCAATCAAAGCCTTTTGTTTCTAACATTTATCCTAAAATCAACTCTGGGAAAAACTCAGTAAAAGTTTGAATCCATGGAACCCACTAAAGAGTGAACCAGAAGGTTTATCCTTTATAATTACACATTGCTGCCCCCTAGTGAACGCAAATGGTATAACAACCTTTTTTTTTTTTCCTTTTTAGATTTTCTTTTTCTTTTTTTTTTTTGGTCCATTTTTGAAAAAGCTTGAACCCATATTTGTGACCTGATGTCATGAGCATGACTCTTTCCTGTCTAGGCTGGCCAGCAGAGGCTGGAATTAAATGTATGCAAATTAGGGAGATATTCAGTCAGCGGTGCTCAGTTTTTCCATTAAACTTTTGAGAACAAAAAAGTTTCAGGTAGTGATTTTGAAAAAAAAAAAATCATTCTTAGTTTTCTATTCATATCACATAAAAAACAGCAATACTGACTAAATGTTTGTTGGTTCATGCCATTTTTTTAAAGAGCTAATTAAACAAAATTAACTGATGAAGGCTAATGTTTATGAAGGACTCTCAGTGAATTTGATTCCAGATTAACTTTTTTTTTTTCTCTCAGCATTGCAAAAATTTACCAAAAAACTTCACTCCACTGAGCTAACATGTTTATAAATGGTATAGTTTCTAACATAAGGTTTGCCTGGGTGTGATTTTATCACACAACATAGAACTCAAGCAATTTTCCAGAAATTTGAATTAAAATTACTTCCTGTCATGTAAAATGAATTTGTCCAATTGTATATATGTTTGTCCTCTTCAGCCCATTGTTTCTCGCACTGCTGCAGGACTTTAAGTTTGCAGCCTCAGAGCAAATAGACAAATAAACTAAAATTCCGTCCCATTAGATTTCACATGTAGGTCTATATAAATCACTATAGCTCCCAAATAATTAATTATGGACACAAAACTTCATGTGTGAGACGCCCAGAGGTTTGTGCTTTTTGCAGTTAGCAGTTTTACCCAATGACTATATGTTTGACTCAGATTCCTGCTTGCATTTCCATCTGGCTCTGTGATACTGCAGCCTTCCCCTCCCTCATGCTCTTCAGAAAAGGCGGGAATCTCCATAGTGACACGTGTTTGCAGGTTTTTCTCTTATTTTTTAATTATGGCTGCCCCTAGTTGACAGAATATTTCATTAAAACAAGTATTTTATCATTTCCTGACCGACTGAACGGATACAAACTGAGCACCGCTGATTTCCAACTAGCACCCTGTTTAAGTGGAAATAATTCAGGACTGGTTAGAGGAGTCTAACAACAGTTGGAAGAAGCCCCTCCCTCCAACGGTGAGAAGATAATTTGGTTATGTGTTTTGGGGCCTCCAACTTCCTTAAAGCTGGATTTCAGCCTTTTTTCTGTACGAGCCGTCTGTGCAGCAGCAGCACTGTAAATAGAAACACGATGGGTAACTCAGGTTTCTACCAATCAAAACGATGCATTATGCGTGTCCTGGAGGAAGGAGGCGCACGTGAAAAGCACAGAAGCATGAGCAGAAGACACTTTTAATATCAGTGAGTTAAATTCAACCTATTTTAAGCTTCCATTGTGACTGTTTATCTTCTATAGTCTTAAAGAAAAGGACTTTTATGGGCTTTGTTCTAGAATGGAACTCTTGTTTATCTAATTTTACCTTCCTGTGATCTGTGTTCAGCTCCAGCATTTATAGCCTTGAAGATGATTGTGATCATCTGGCAGCAGACCCTTTAAAACTAAGCAGAAAAACAACTTTTAAACACATTCCAGCTGTTGGCATCATTCTGGAGGTCAAAGCTTTTGCTGGCATCATGCATGCAACAGAAAACTAGTCAATGCAAATGGGAACTATTTCCATCTTTGCAGAAGAACCCACCAAAATACCCTGAACCGAACCTGAAATGTTCCTGTCCTTAAATCTTAATGCAGGTTTTTAGACTCTGCCACTGGGTTAATTCAAATCCAACCTTCAGCCTAGCCATCAGGGGGCGCTGCAGTTATTTAATCCAGCTGAAGCATTCTTTGACCAAATTGTTCAGTTTGAGCATTTATGATCTTTCAGGTTTGCCTCTTCTATCTGTGAAATTAATATATGCATGAGTTTGCTTCTGGTTAAAAAAAAAAAAAGAATATATATATATATATATATATATCAATAGATGAAAGTGTGAAAAGTCAGAAACTGTAAACCTGAGACCCTGGAGGCCCCTTTTCACCACCAAAAAAAGAAACAAGTCAGATAAAAAATATCAACATTAAATGACTCATTCTAAGGATATACCCATTTTAAAATTAAACATTGTCTTTTCAATTTCAATTTAGTAATAAACATTGCTATAAAATCTGACTTTTAGAAAATATTTTTTAAATTTGCCGTTTCCCATTTATTTAGGGACTTTTTCCATCATTGAACACAAATTCTATATCTTGTTTTTTCTATTTAACCTTTTTTTTCCTGGATTGTTTTTGCCTTTTTTCCACAATGACGGCAGAAATATTTGGAAGGTTTTATGTTTTTTCCTCTGGGATTTGTTTTTGCTTCAGCTGGTGAAGAAGGGCTTCCACAGAAGTCCAGGACTATTCTTTTTAAAGCAAAAATAAGTCATTCAAAGCAGAACCCCTTCATCTGTAATCATGGAAATATTAAACACTTCCTGTGGTCGTCTGAATGTCATTTTAAAGGGATAAAATTCAGAGTTTCTTTATGTTTTATAAATAACTATTGAATAATGTTGAATTGTGTTCATTTTTCTGTCGGTGTACAGCTCTGGGATTAAGAAAGATAAATAAAAGGACTTTTTTCTGTAATTATAATCAGAGGAATAGCTTTGTTTCTTTTCTCTTCATCTTAACTCTTCCTCTTTTTGTCTGATTCTGTCAGATGTATTCAGCCCTGCTGCTACGCCAGCTCTCTGTTTTTGTACCTGCAGAGTTGGACTTTCTATGAAAAAACAATAAAAAACAATAATCAATCAAATGTATGTATTTACTGATCAAAATAAAACTCTTTGATTATCAAATAACCATTCATCAATTAAGTTAAGATAATGTCTAAGACAGTAAAGCCAGAGAAAGATTTCTTTTCAGGGTTTTAAATGTAGATATTAGCTGCTGCTCATCACCTGGGTAACACCATCGCTACTGAGAAGCATAATGTTGGTAGTATAATGCTGTGGGGATGTTAGAGGTTAGACAATACAGAAGACAATTACAGCTATTCATCAGGAAAACCTGCTCCCAGAGCAAACAGTCAACATAAAACGTTTGTTTCTTCAGGATCAGTCTGAGAAGAAGCTGGCCAGCTGGACTTTAGCTTGAGCAGAAAAACGTCAACCTTCTGCATGTTTCACAGTGTGAGAATCTTCAGTCAGATATTCTAAACTGGCAAAAGTACAGCTCCAGAGCGACTTCCATTGTATTTTAAAGGTATACAAAGCAGGTAAAACTGCTAAATATATATGATAACAGTTCTAATACGTAGGACTGGTCCTTTTGTAAACTTATTGATGCCAAAGTGGCCAAATATAAAAGTCTGCTGTCCCTCTACTGGAGTAAAGGAGGCAAATTCAAACAGGGCTGGTTTTACACACACCAAACATCCTCATGTAGCGAATATGAATATCACTCATCGGCCAGAGCATCTTTGGTTACCATGGAAACAGTAGTGGTCAGAGATCAGCCGGTGTCCATGTAGACCTGGTCTAGTCCCCAGTTATGACCCCTGTACTAAAGACATGATACTGATCCATTTCCCTATGTTATGCACCGGCACAGAACTGTTGCAGATTTTATTTTTTACCTTTTTTTTCTTAATTTTGCTGTTGATTTTAATATTAATTTGGAAATTTAAGGTGTTGCACTGGAGATATTATCACGGGTTTCCTCTGCTATACATCAGCCATCTTTGGCTTTATGGTTCACTAAATATGCCTAACAAAGAAATACAGGCTTTTTTGTTAGTCTTTTTGAAGTTTGTAAATTAGTAGATTCACCTTTTTTGTTTCAATATTTCAGTCTTTGTCCTATTTTAAATTAGTTCCAGAACATCAACTGTGATGTAAATGCTTTTGCTCTGTATTGGAACCCTTTTGTTCAACCCATTCCGGAAAACTCTGCCCTTCCAAACATGGCGGCGCCGCTCGCGTATCAGTAAAACCGTGCTGCGTCACAGTTTTCAATAAAGCACTGCCGTTTTTTTCAGCTAACCCACTCTGCGCATGCGCACAGACAGAACCTCGGCGCTAACCAGATAGCTTCTCGCTGCGTACAGTTTGGTTTAACCTGATCCTCCCTGACGTTTGTAAACAGATATCAACCGTGAGTTGTGCCGAGTGGGCTTAAAGAGAACCTGGTGTGAAGGAATATGCCCAAAAATAAAGGTAAGCGGCCGAACATGGAGGGCTTTACTGGGGTTAATGAGCTCTGCGGTAGTTCAGCCCGCCGTGAGGAAAACGTGACCCGGGCCGGCTAACCGCGTTAGCAGCAGGTACAGGAGCCCGCTACTGATCCTCCACCCCGGCCTCTGCTTATTATACACTCTGAATGTCAATAATAATAAAGTTAGTTAATGTATGTTAAAGCTTTACATCATTTAAAAGGCGGTTAGCTAGCAGCTAGCTGGTACAGTTAGCTCCACCCTGGGTTGGCCTTCTGACATCTGCTCACTAACTACAACATTTAACACTTTAACTTTTAAAATAATATCAAAACCTAACGTGATTAGCTCTAAGTTGCCCTTATATTAGCAAATTTGCTTAATTAGCCACTATTTATTAACCATAGAGCAGTTAATAAAAAATCCCAAGTTGTGTGGTTTTTAAACCGGTTTAAATGGCGAATTCCTTAAAATGTTTCATTTATACAGGAAGGACTAATCTTTACTCATCTAGCCGTTTTTATTTTACTCTGTCAAGTTTAGCATCGGAGTAATTATTAATGTAAGCCTTAATCAATAGTTCTTTAGCTTATCTGAAGGTCTTTGATCTTTTAAAGTTGGACTTAGTTTAAAGTTTATTTCCTTGTTCTTTATTTCAAACCATTTAAATGTCAAATCAATTTATCTTAAAGACCTTTAAAAGCTCCCAGATCATAAATGTTGATAGTTTGCCTCTCAGATTTAGCTCTCGAAGCTATTTCCACTGTGAGGGAAGGAAATCCTTCAGTTTTTTTCTTTGCAGGTATTTGTCTTCCTGATCTGACAGTCTGATCAGGTTCTAATGGGGTCTTAGAAAGCCTGGAAAACTGTTAAACTTGGTTTATTTTATCTAAACTGGAAGTTTCTGGAGGAAAACAGTTTGTTTTAAGACATGAGAAGCAAAATTAAAGGGAAAGTAAGTTCATTTTAACTTTAATATATTTTTAAAGGGTTTCTCTGGGTCATTAAAAATAATTAAGTCATTAAATTATTAT